TACAATGTCGGTACAATTGAGAGTAAGGCAAATGTCCACTTACTATAGTGTACCAAGTTTAACAACTAACTACGTTTGAAAAGCGTGAATAGTTAGATTTTTTAATTTAGTGGCGTTCTTTTCACAAAACTGAGCATATATTATGGCAGATTGTATATGAACTATATATTACTTATATAAAATGAATAATGGGGAACACAAAGAATTTATTTATGTTTATCGCGCAACAATACTTAAAGTTAATTATTAAGATCTATATATGAAAGACAGACATCACCCACCATAAATCTTGTCACTTAACGGTCATATCAAACAGTTGACTCAAGGTTTTCTTCTCAATAATATGACAATAAGTTTTTTCTAAAATATTAAAGGTGTTCAGTTTGAACAACTGATTGTTAAAAAACTTTCCGATTTTTATTCGGTCTCGTCTATTACTGATATGCACATTGATCAAAAAAGAAAAAAACTGAAACATTGATCAATTAATGATCTCAATAAAAACAAAACATATTACTGGTTAACATAATTTTCTCACTATACTATTGAAATTGATAGGAAAGAGTTCATTGTAATAAAATTAATAAATAAGATTGGTAACTGAAATCCAATTTCTTGTTCATAAATGAATAAAGTATTCTATATCAGTCAGTCACTTAGTCACAACGTAGAACTTCGTACGTATGTAGATCAGTTCGAGTTGCCATATCACATTAGCACAGAGATGCAGTTGTCGATTCAAATCCCATAGTGGTAGAGGTAGTAAGAGTATAAGCAGTAATCGGAAAGATTAGGGTTTGAAGATGTTATTAAAGGAGTATAACCCAGTGAAATGAATTTGGAAAGAGAAATAGATGGAGACATGAAAAATTCAGAAGATTAGAATTTGGCAGAACACAAAGAGTGGATACACCTACGCCACTGCAAAAGATTTTGAGCCATGTCATTCAAGGTCTCTAACCATCGATTGCTATCATCTTGCGGATTCCAAACAGGTAGTCTACACCTAGAAAAATATTATATGTACGCGTATTATCGATAGAAAATAATAGTTTATCTTTATAAATGATCTAAATTACTGTGATTCATTCATTTAATTACTTGGCTATTGGTTTAATGATTAATGAAATAATATCATTTATTTTGTTTGAAACAGCTATATATTAGCTAATGTCATTAGAAATTAAACATGACTGAAAGCTTATTATAAGCAGTTTAAATTCCGTTTCTGAGTTAATTTACTTTTTTTTTCAACATTAATCACAATTATCCATTCTCAAGCTAATAGAACGGAATTCTGTTATTACTATTATTATCATAATTATTTCCGATAACTACTCAATCTTCCTGAGTAATGTATGGTAAGTTTTGATATAATGCTATATATTCATATCGTTAGATACAGAAGAAATGTTCAGTATTCTAAGTAATAATAAATTTTAGTATATTTCAATAACTTATCAGTCAGTCCTTAGTAGATTTCAAAAACGTAACCCTGTTTGAATTCGTTTACTTTACCAATTACGTTTTATTTTAATTAGAAAATAACAACTTTTAGGATTATCAAATGTTTAAGAGGTAAATAATAAAAAAACATTGTTCATTTACTACTTATTAGAAAGCACTTATCAGATTGAGGAAATTCATACCCCCTTCCCATGAGTTTAAGACAAATATTCATTCATTGATTTTTCATTGACAATAATACAGCAGAATTATTTATATTAAGACAGATGTTCTATAGAGTAGGAATGAATACAAAATATCCCAACGATATCACGTGAAAATATTACTTCTATCCTCAGTAAACAACTAATAAGTAATATATGACAACTTAGTTATTTCAAAAAGCATCTACAACTGAAGCATGGAGTGTGTCGTAGTATCAAATTATTCACCCTAAATGGTTTAAATTTTGGTTAATATTCAATAAATGTAGATATGAATTTAATACTGAAACAATAAAATGACTTAACTCGATTTGAAATGTTTTGGATAACGCATTGGTGTTCGAAGCAAATTGTACTGGGCCCGAGTCCCAGAATGAATACCACCTCTGTAATGTAGGTGTGTTTAGCTGACCAATCGTAAGTAGGACGAAATAATCATCCCTGACTCCACTACTAGCCACATTGCATCTATTCTGTGTCAATACAATGATTGTTTATAACATCAATCAGTTCACAGGAATCCGGGAGAATCGATTTTAAGCTAACCTTGGATAATTGTTGTAAACAGTACTCAGTGAGGAACGGTTTCAATTACTGTAAGTACTGTTTTTATGATGTTCACTGATTTGATGTGACCAAAAGGGAAACTATGAACTAAGATTTCTCTCTAATTGTCAAGTATCAGCAAGATATGTCTATAATTTTGAAGGATTCAATACCTCCCGATGGGAACCACCCGATATCATGTTTCTCATCAATAGTTAGCGCTTACACAGTTAAATGTAAGAAACCTAAATGCATTTCACTTAATACAATGAATAATCTTGACACAAGTCTACTAACTTCTAATATTTTATAAACTCTATCTCACACATACATTTCTATTTTATCGTCCCGAAATATATTCTTAATATTTGGTTCTTCCCCTATCACTGCTTATACAATTAACTCAATTCGTTTCCTGTTCATCTTGATGATTTCTCGTCGTGTATATGTAACATAGAGACCTAAGTAAACTCACATTTGCATCAAGCTCCTATGTTGATTATAACTGGTTGGCTCAGCTCTTCGACACTGTTTATTTTCACTTTTCTAATAAACAAGAAAATAGAAGTTTCTGCCATTATAGTTTTTTTCACTACACAACAATTATTTGAACACTCCAATAAATGAGAATAGGATTTTGAAGTGGAGATAATGGAAGTATCCAATATTAAAAAACTTTTTTAAATTTTGACAATGTTTCGCTTCACTGCATGTTAACAGTTGTATAAGTATAATTTTTATGTTTTTTATAGTTCCACATTGTTCTATTCATACCTGATTTAGTTTTAGTATACTAATTGTGATTAATTATCAAGATTCATATGTTCGTAACAGAATTATTGGGTAATTCCGATTGCTGACATCAACATTATGTTTAGCTTCGCTGGATAAAGGATTAAAATATTGCATTTCTTTACACTTATTAGTTTATTAAAAATTTAATGACAACCATTGTATAAAATGTCTTGAAAATTAGATCAGCATTCAATCATAGTTATGTACTGACACAAGTTTCAATATTCCACATAAACAAAGAGGAAAATAGTTATAAAATGATTAGCGAATTGATCTGAATAACTGTTATTTTCTCCACCGTCTAATATTTTCCGACCATCATACTTCATTCATGTCTTCCTAAATCAAGACAAGAACTGGAGAAATATATACATAGAAATATATCTCAATAAGATCGAAATAAAAAGATACAGAAGTAAAAAACATTGAAATTAGTTTCGAATCTACGTGAGAATCTTCTAACATCTTAATTTATCAGCTATACTGATTCGTTTTGGATTTTGGTGAAAAAGAACCATTTTCTATTTGACTGAGCAATATGAAAATATAATAAGTAATGTAAACTACTAATTATATATAAAAACTTCAAACCAGATCATCAGACTATAACTGACTTGTCAGTCAATAAATTACTAACCAAGATCAAAAATTAATACAAATCAAATGAACAATGAACACTTTATTTCTATCCAGTGATAACAGATATAATATTTCTAACCGGTTTCAAATTCAATCTTCTATTCTTTGTGTAAAAAAGGTTAATTGACAGATATTATTAGCTATTAATGTCTAGAAATAGTACATTTAACAAGTTTATACACGTTTCTTATAGTAGAATAGACTTGATAACGATGAAATCTTGTTACGTATACAAGATAAAGAGTTAGTAAACTAGATGAATACTTTCAATAGATATATTGTATAAGAAACTATCAAATTGAAGAGTCTTTTTTTTCTAATTAATGCACAAAACTTCCAATTAAGATTGAATTATTATCAATTGATTGGGGAGTTAAAACTAATTATTCTATTTAGAATGAGAAACAATATACTATAATAAAATTAGTTTAAGAATATTTAATAGTTTAATTCATGAGTCAATTAAAACTAGTCCACCATGGAAAACATGAGAGTACTGAATGACTATTTCGCCGTAGTATGGGAGTCTTCAGCAGTACTTACCCACGCTGGATTCGAATCCAAGACCTATCGGTCTCGCGCGCGAACGCCTAACGTCCATACCACTGAGCGGGCATCCAAGGGTGTTAATGTCTAGTTTCAACCAATCAATAACGATTACTACTACTACTCCTACAATCATAAAATAAACCATAGAAAATTGTCACTAAGTATTTTAAAATATAGGTTAATGAATTAAATCTTTTAAAAGTTCTTACTTCCATATATCCTTGATAAGGAATGATCATTTGACTTTAGAAATATCACTGTTGTTATTGAATATGTGAAGTTAATTATTCTCATTAAATTTTTAAGGTAAAACGTTGTAAATGTACTAACCAATATTATGAATTACTGTTTATGTATACATATTATATAATTACTGAATTATAATCTTACTAAGAAGGAATTAACTATTTTTCATGTTACATAGACAGACCTTACTGAAAACAGATTTCTATTCGGGTAACCATGTATAAATATTCTACACAGTTATAATAATTTGCACTACACTGTCATGTTAAACACCTTAATTATATCCAGTTGTATTAATTACTGTATTCTTTTTTGCAAATAAATTGAAAAGGAAACCAATTTATTCAAACATTGCCTAAAATTCATTCGACAAGATAAACCATTAATCCAATCTTATACGTTGAGTTGATAAAATTGAAGTTGAATCATTATTTTACGCAGTTATATTTCAAAACACATTTCTCAGTTAATAAAAGATTTCAACATGTTTTTTTTTCTGTATTACTTAATTTCTGTTTGTTTGTTTGTTTCATCAATTTTTAAACAAACAACCAGGTTTGTGCACCTCGTCTTTCATGGTCATCAGCAGCATCTGTTTATTTACCTGGTGGTTGCTTTGAATTCAATGAACGTTTAGAAGAGCCTCAATTAAATCCTGCACCAAGTGCAATATGTTTAAATGTTGAAGGTTCAGATAAATCAATTGATCTGAGATATTGTACATTTGGTGCATCAGTTAATCAACATCCTAATAGGCCAAAACAATTATTTATGGGTGGTCCACATTTTTATTTTGAGAAAGGTGAGTAAAATATTAAATTGGTTAATGAAATTTAATATCATTCAGTCAGTTAGCTTATTCTCTATTCAATCGATATTATAGGGTGACAATAAAAAAATAAGTTCTTTGTGGTAAGAAAGCAAAATCAACTTATGATTGTTAGTATTTAACAAAATCTACTCATGCAGCCGATCCCCAAATATCAATCGAACAGTATCTACTAACAATGCACATATTGATTATTTAAAGCTATTATGTATATGCAGTTAATTCTACCAGAATAGTGTATGACAGTTGAAAAATGATTAATTAAATTTGAAAGTAAAAAAGTCACAAAATGAAAGACGAGCATTTAGTTCAACCTAGCTGCTATGGATAAAAAATGTTGAGGATTCCCATACTAGGTGTTCAGTGCTTCATAGGTTCTCATGGTAGTTCAATTGAGCTCAAATGACAATCAACACTATCTATAAAAAAATAAGTTTCGATGAGTTGTAAAATTACTATTTACTCTTCTGCACACTAGTCTTCGCTGAGAATCTAATACTATTTAAAGCAGTTTACTTGATCAGTACGGTAAATAAACATGATTGTTCACTTCAAATAATCTTTGCCATAAAAATATTATACTTAATTTTCCATCTCCTCTTTGTTACTCCATTAACGTTTATCCATCTCTCATTATTTGTTAACATAAATTTGTGAACCCATTAAAATCAACATGCAAAGTAATAATTAATAGAGAAAATCACTTTATTCAATGCCATATGTTTGACTATGCTTAAGAGTTCTTAGAATAAAATAAACAATATACATTATTCAACTTGTGAAGATTCAAGAAAATACTTATGAAGAAGTTTTTAAGTAGTGCTTCCATGCCATTCATATTTATCTTTAACTTTTGCTAGCCAATTTCACTTTCATGATATCCCTTTCCATCTTAAAGTATATTTGATATCTGAATTCTGTAGAGTAGTCTCTACACGTTTCTTCCAAAGAGAGATGGGAAAAATACACGAACCACTGTGATGGATCTTCTTAAATTCCTTGATTATTAGATTCGCAATAGGTCTCAAATATTTCATCAAATCTCCTAAATACACACGGTTACAAGAATGCAAAACTGCAAATACGAGCTGAAATTATTTTCTTCAGAATTCATCTCTATAAAAAAGAGGATTTAGCTAATTAAAATTAAGACTAACCAATCTCGATATGATAAAATGTATTACGATGAAGAAATATAAACAACTAAACTGCTCTACCTGAATCATTTTGAATAGATAAGTAACATCACTAGTCTTTATGAATTAAAATTTATTTCAAAGTTGAGAGTATAAATCTATACTTTGATATATAATTAAATAAAATTAGTATAAAGACGTTCGTCTAAATTACAGCGAGTAGTTTCAAAGTATTTGAGCGCCAAGTTGATGTAAGACATTAAAGAAGATATTTCCTTGAAAAAGCATGGACCAGATTGCCAGGCGAAACGTTGGATTTACTTCAAATTCATTTGCTGAAATTTTACAAATACATTCTTCCTATTTAATTAAATAAAATTATTTAATAACCACTGTACATTAATAAAATTATAATAATTATGTATAACAGCGAATTCACTATCCAATAGGAATTCACAAGTAAAACAAACTACGAAGATTATCAGAACTATGTGATATATTAGCTCAATACCTTTTGAACAATCTGATCACACATAGACTTGTTAAGAACATTTATATATAAAAATAAAAGGTCAACTAGCCTGGAAATGGGGGGGAAGAGGAGAAAAGGATAATAATAATAATAATAATAATAATAGTAATAATAATAATAATAATGTGAAAACAATTTGGAACCTAATCACTCTGGTTAATATTACTAGGATAGGTTTAAAGTGAGAACAAACTGTTTTTGCATACACGAAAGGGGTTTGAATTCTCGTATGACTAAGGCTTCAATAAACCTTAGTATACCCCCTTTTACGCTTTTATACAACACCACGAAAACCTAGTTATGATCAATCTTATAACCTGTTTCGATTATATGTTTGGCAATAGAGGACGATGCATGTTTATCCTCTACTCTTATTAGGTCATTTGATTCTATTTGTTTCTGTAATATTATTACACTATCGAAATTTATCAAAGGGACGTATTACTTTAAAACTAACTACATTTAAACAAATACAATGATTTTACAGTTTTTCTTTAAATTCTTAACATGAAACCACTTGTTTCTAAATTTAAACAAGAAAATATCACAATTATCATTGTGTTAGTTATATTGTGCTTTTTGGCGTGTATATTTGATATCTATCAGTTTTGTTAACATTTTGATACAATCATTTACTCTAGATGAACATTTTTCTACAACATTGTTTAGTTTTTATTTTTCCTCTTGTATTAAATACTACGTTCCCATATCTTTCTCCTTCTCTCTTTCTCTCTCTTGTTTACTGAATAATATTAGTATTAGTAATGTCAAAATGTATATTTTTAAAATGTCTATTTTTTGTCTCGTGTCAAAATCACATTATTTCCCTGTAAATCCATCCATCCTTCAGATTTCTTCCATTTTTCTTCTTTATTTGCCATGCTACACATTTTTTTAATCGTTATTCTTGCCTATGATCATTTACCACCAACGTATATATGCATATATATACATATAATTGTGTAGTGAAGGAAAACGCAAGTGGGTACAGTCGAATGTATTTGAATACAAAATTACAGAATATCTTAGTGAAATCTGAGAACTATACAATAAATGCTTATTTGGTAAAATGTCAATCAGTTGTCTCAAACTTGACTGTTCCTTTTGCAAATGTCAATCTATCGTCTCAGACTTCATTGTTCTTTCGTTTCCGCAAAAAATGTTTTTCGTTCTCGCTCTCTTTTCTTTGACTTTCTTAATCTTCTGCTTCGAGGAATTTTGTTTATGATTGATGATACATATTACTTATATCTGTCGACATTAGTAGCGCACACCACAACTGTACTATGTAATAAGACTTTCTTTGAACATAATAAAATTCTCTTACATTCAGTCTGAATTAACAGTCAAAGTGCTTCTCTGTCCCTGGTTATTGTTCTTGATCATTCGCACTATCTTGATTACACAGAATAATGAAACTATTTTGATCGAATTTTGTCATCATGCTTTCGTGAGTATATTTTTTACTGTTTTTGACTTCATATTTTAAATATTAGTATTTATGCTTAATGCAAAGTAACTTCTGTATTGAGTAACAAAATACAGTAAAACAAAGTATGTTAGATAAGTTCTGTGTATCAACATTGATTCAATAACAACAATACCAGATTTTTAACAACGTGACGTGAAATAAATAATTACTTTATGCACCAATGGAAACTGAATGTTATTGTCTGACTACTCAGTTAAAATATAAAATAAAAAACTTCAAGGTCATTAATTGTCATGTCATAGTCCTTGTCATTTTTCATCGTTTATTTTCAAATTCTAAACGGTATGTAGCTAATAGAAATCATGAAACAGAGAGTACTTGTTATTATTAAGCAGACTCATATTGGTTTAAATTCTAGAATGGAACTGAATTAAGAAAAAAGAACATGTACTTATGTAAGAATATTCAGTAACATTCGTGATATATTTCTCTGTAATGAATATCAGTACGATCAATAACCATTTGGTTACTTTCTTGTAAGTTTGAACACTCTTATGGAAACATTTTCTCTTGAAACTCGGTATTTTTTAATATAGCTGATGTCAATGTACTTTTTTCATAAATTTGAATGAAAAGTCTTTTGGACAGAAATATCTTTAACATATAATTAAGAATGTCTTGTGTATTTTGTGAATAAACTTAAAATGTACGTGTATTTTTAATTGCAGGCGTTGGGGCTTCAGTGAATACAAACACCTTTGAGCGCGTGATTACCTCAATTGAAGATATTCCTTCAAATACGCTTCTTGGTAAGCTATGAGTTGTAATCTGTACTAGTAAACTTATATTCAGCATTAGTGATGGCATATTATTAAATTTATATAGAAAATAAAGAAAATTCTATACTTAATATATCTACAATTCTTTATACAGTATATAATGTTAATTATCGAAGAAAAGATTCTTTACTTGAAAATGTTTTTATTTACCATTTCCAAAGTTGTGACCGACTCTGTTCCAAATGCACCAGGTCTAATCACTTGTGTTTTTTCCTAGAAGTGCATTATCAAGTATACTTTGATTATATAAACGTAAATCTAGAGTAGTAAGTGGCCGAAACAGTGCTTCTGATCAAAACATCATCGATCCAAGCACTATTCACGCCTACTTCGTTTTGGCTGCCATTAGTAGCAACATTAAATCATACACAAAGTGTAATTAATGGCAAGAGATCAGGTTATGTTGCATTCTTATTACATATTAGTTCTTTCTTTAAAAGATAACCTCAATCACATTTTTCTAATTCATAATTCCTAAGTAATATTTGCCATTACCTACTTGGTCATCATCACTGTCAGTTTGTTAATTTTGCGATATATTTAAGTCATTGCTCGTTACTGCAAAAATAGACTTTTTCCTTTTCAACCTTTGGCTTCTGCATAGAATATAACGTTATCCGGAAAGTCCCATGCTCTGTATTAGCGCGTGGATTATTGATATTGAAATATTGTTGTCCAAAGATATCTTGTCTATTCAACTTTCTACTCGTTATGTCGTATTGGAAGAATATTTAATCATTTGCAAATAAAATTTGCCATATGACAACCAGGAACAATGAATGTTCATATTTAACAGTAATAGAGTTGGATATATAAAATTGTACTGTATGAATTATTTTCCAACATTTCTAAGGATAAGTGTTTAGTTGAAACAATCACGCACAAATCTAACACAACTTCAGCAGTTGCGTTACTGATATATTTTTGGTTTTACTTAGCTTGATGACGGCTGAGGCTTTCTAGAAATATTTTCAATGTTTACTAAGTGTGCTATGCCCAAAACTCTCGGTCATTTACCCTTTCATTTAGTAGAATTGTATATTGTATTAGACATATGATATTGCATAAAACCATCATTATTAGTTATGGATATGGCTGAATATTGCGGTTTAATTTTTACCAATGATTTTATCTCAAGCCCAACATTTTACTATATCTGTATTTTTTGTCCGCTATGTTGGGTTGCACGCTGGACGTGTTCATAGCAGACAGTTGTGGATAACCCCAGCCTCTTGAAACGGTATTTCTGATTAAATTTACTCTAGTATACAGACGAAACAACTAAATTGACGGAAAAATGATTGAAATTACCGGATACAACATAGTTAATAAATATGAACAATGTTGTTGATAATCTCATCTCTCAACGAGCTGATTTTAAGTCAAAATACAGTTCAATCAATTTCCACCAAAGTCATTTACGACAGGATAAAAAACTTCTAGTTTAAAAGTACTCTTTTTTAATATTTTTGTATAAATTCATTTGACTGAAAGATAGTTTTCGTGACGAACTTCCATCAGCCGCGAAGGAAAAACTGAGAAACCACGAGACGCCAGAGATCTATCATTTCCTGTTAGTAAGAGATTATGTTTTTCCGTTGTTGATGTTAAAGATTGAAATCGGTTGGTCTCTACTGATATATGTAAGTCTTGAATAAATGAACCCAATGCCGCCATTAAGTTGGAAGTTTTAGTAAAGTTTGGTTACGACAAACGGTGGTATCGAGAGCCTATGTTCTGTGACTGATCAGCTGTATAAACCTTCACCTCAATCTTGATGCTAACAATGAAATTCAAATTCACCGAGTTTAAATTCAATCTCACGCACTTTATCTATTGAGCTGTTAAGTGCGAATAGCCACTAGCATGTACAACAGGTATATAGTTTATTTGTAAGAGTTTGTACCGCCACCATGACTGTGTAAACATCAAAACTGAGATTTAGTTATATTTAGCTGAAGAGTTCCAAATAGGATGAAAAGCAGACCATCGACCTCACTGTTAACCACTGTGTAACGTAGATAGTATTTATTTCGTCCTGGTTTAAGAATTTTCGATAGTCCAAACACATATATACAAGACTGTACTCGGGATTGAACTTTGAACTGATGGAGCTAGAAGTATCTTTAAACTACTTGGCGAGAATTCAGTAGTCTACACTCATCTTTTGTTAATTCACAATGTAATGCAATATCTCTCCGTCTGATTCCATTTCGTGACAAAAAAGTTACTCCTAAAAAATTAAAACAGACAAATAATACTATGGTGTTTTTCTCTTCACTAATTATTGAAAACTATCAACTTATTATCATTGTTATTAATACTATAAATGTCAGTTATATTCCACGTCATCATTCAATATGGCCTTACATAACAATGGTGGTGATTATGGAAAGGATGTTGATATTTCAAATTGTTGTTCAACCCAATTATCAAAACCATTAACGAACATGTACAACTCACTGATAATCACACTTGAAAGATGTAGTGAACATCTTTGATTATATAGTACAATTTTCATAATGCTATAATGTTAACTTATATTGACTTTTAAATAGAAGTGAAAACTTAGTATTTACTCATATATATAAAAGTACAGTTATTTACATTCAATCTGATATCAAGGTTTGGTGTTTTGTAAACTAAATTCTTGATAATAGTTATCTGGATAAAAAGTTAGAGTTTAATTCATGTAAGTCTAGGTTAATTATTATTTATATTATAGTTTCCATACTAATTCAGCTATTCAATATTTTTTTAAAAACTTATGTTTCAGTAAGTGAATTCTACAATAGTCATTCGTTTTAGGCAAACTGACTTAAATTTTACTGATGAAGTAACATCAAAACGAAGGTAAAACACTGAAAGTTAATTCTAAAGACGGTTGAAAGTGTAATATTGACTACCCAAGGTTCAATTTGATAAATATTCAAGGATGAACTAACCAAAATATCAATCCATTAAGTGGTTGTTAATTAATTTGGATCATCTAGGAATGTACAAACATCCTTTGTGTTTGATTGCACATCCTGTTTGAATTTCGCGCTTCAATATCAGGAGTAGTAAAATTTCTTATCTGCTGTGACTGTACAATTGTGAAATGTAACGGTAACGTAAGAAGATACAAATGTATCATTTTTGTAATCATCTGAAACAGTGATCTTGCGATCAGGATTAAGAATAATCTTATGGTTACCGATTATATGGAGTGTCTAGAATACGTCTGAACTCTCCTTTCCGTTTTACTTCTATATATATACTGTTTAGCAGCTCTCTACGTTCTACTTTGTGGGTGTGAAATATGTCCATTAAAAATACAGGATATTCGTAAATCATCGTACGTAACTTCGAAGTACTGCTCGTATATTCTGAGACCACCGAGTAATCAGTGCCTGAGTTAGGAATAGAGTAGTAGGTAGGGATGACAAGTCGATTGGAAAGGTAGTAATTCTTCATTAATTTAGGCGGTTGGAATATGTTTTACGTATGCCTAACCACTGCTTACCTAAACAGGGTATGTTTTCTGGTGTAGGAGTGGGGTAGAAGAAACCTAAGAGTGGTCAAAACAAAACATGACATCAGTCCATGAAGTCATTGACAACTGGATTTATCCATGTTAATAGCTATAGACTACTTGGTTGGGGTCTATATGATAGTCATAACCATTAGAAGAGACTTTGAATGCCATGGCTCATAGTTGTTTGTAATGGCGTATGTTCACCCATTCTTTGTCTTTCCTAAATTTTAAACTTCTGAATTCCTCATTATTCTTTTTTATTTCACTAAGTTAAATTTTCTCAAATTGTATTTTCAATCCCTAATCTTTTATAATACTGTTTCCACCTATACAATTCTCGGAAGTAACCTGACAATTTCATCTCTCCGTGCTAATATGGTATAGTGACTGACTGATGTATATATACATATGATGTATACACAAAAGACCGGTAATTTTTTCAACTAAATTTTAGACAATTCAAACAACAAACAAATTCATATTATTAAAACATTGAACCTATCCAAGTGAAAAAATAAATTTATATTTAAATATCAATTCGTAGTTAATTATTTTTTATAGTTTGTTTTTGCATTCTTGTAAATAAATTATTTTCACAATGAACTTTGATATTGTGCTACGGACTAATTGACTAAGAATCAATATTTATGAATAGATCTATCTATTTGATGACAAGCTGAAAATTATTGCATGAATAATTATCAAAATGATTTTAAAGTTATTAATTATGTGTACATTCCAAACAATTGGATCGTCAAGTTATACAGAATGTTACCTACTATGTAGAAGTGATAAAATCCTAGGAAACATAACAAATATAAAGAAACTAAGGGTCTAGTTGATAAGATCTAAGACAAACTTGACACTCATGACATTGATTACCACTCAGTGATCAATCAATTGTGAGGGTCTAGTATAATTAAGACTCAAATTATTATTGGTGTACTTGGAAAAATTCATTTCATACAAACAGACCTTAAAATAACTATATTTGCTACTTACTGATAAGATTTACAGAATTACATCATATATGTTTTATATTATCGAGTCAATCAATAGGCCTAATCGGCTGGCAACTCTCAGTTGACAGATTTCATGATTATTGCCATTTGTTGAACAACTTCCCTTTGAAACCTTTGCAAAACACTTACTACAAAATAATTAATTTTTATTGAATATGCAGTTGTATATGTAATTTTTGAAAGAATCAGAGGTTAGCTGGCTTTCTGTTTAACTACGTCATTTATGATAAATAGATCCTATAGGATAATACGTATAACACCAGTAGGTGATACATCTTGTCTATCATGTTTTTGATTGATCACCAGATCTAATGGAACGTTTTTTCTAAATAAATATCCAATATAAAAAACCATACCATTGTATATATATATATATATATATATATATATATATATATAGTATGTGTTTATTGTTCATGCACTTTGAATTGTTTGTTTTATTAAAGACATTAAAATTACCTGTTTATTGCTTAATGTTCAACTTTCATGAAGTAGGAAATTTAGTTTATCTGTTTAACTTATACCTATATCAGTATAGTGGATTATGCTTGAAATCATCAAACTTGATAGATGTTTACACTGTGGTCTAACCATTTCACATGAATGTTTGGAGATCTAATTATCTTAGATCATTTTTATGAATATTGTTTACTTCTGTTGCTTTTAACCGATTCTATGAATCATCGTTTACTCATATTTAACATTGAAATGACCTATAGCATTTTCTTCTATTTATACGCAGTACATGTCAAATTAACCTAATAAATAAGTAAATAAATGAGATAGTATTAAGTGTTAATAAAGTGTTTATAATCGGTCTTTTGTATGTATAATCTTCAATGATTGTTATTGTTTGTATACTAATAATCCTACACAAGTTATAAAGAAAGATTTTGTATTTTTCATCAGTAGGAACAATTCTGCAAACCCAATGTTCATTACCTATTGGTTATTCATAAATAGTCAACTTATCTTGTTAAAAAAACAAAATTATTATTATTACCGGAGAGCTTAAAATTTGTACTGTGCTAATCGTGATGAGCAGTCTGCTGTCATATGAATGAGCATTAGCTTCCAGAAGATTAAACTTGCGCCGTACTGATGAGTATCAACTACCATGAAATATCAACCCAGTGCTTCTTCTCGATCGTTTCTAATTATCTTAATATTTCTTTGTGTCTTCTATTACTGATTATTATTCTTGAACTTAAAATGGAAATTTAATACATTAAGAAATAAACTATCTGCAAACTGTCCTACTTTCCTTTAAGAAGTTCAGAGGAGGTTAGCTTAATTTTAGGCTGTATACATCACAGAATGATATACTTTCGGCCACCATTGAGAATCACGGGGCATTACCCAGCTGTTTCTATATAATGTGGAACTCACCATCAGCGCACATTCATGACCCTACCAGGTTTCGAAATTAGGATCTTCAGGTTTTGCAACGAACACTGAATTATCAGAATCCCTGAGTTGGCATCCAGTGGTAAAATTTCAACTTGAATAATGTCCGAAAGAGCTCAACGAATATCCAGTCCCATTGATGACAGCTGTTTCGGTAAAATTTAAGCTTTAAATGAGTTCCAAACTTTTAGGTTATATAACTGAGACCATTTTCTTCCTATTTCACTAACCAATCACAGATAACGCAAATGTTTACACAAATGAACGTCAGTTGTAAGTAAATCCTTCATTTGAATGAATTTATTATCTTAAAGTTATCATTTTCGTATATTAGCAATGTATCTACAAAAGACCGATAATGCTCAAACATTCCTAACTTCTAGAAACTTATTCTCTGATAAATGCTTTTGTTTACGGATACATTTCTATATTCTCAGTGAGTAAGATGTAACTGCTGTTTGTATCTATGTACCAGTTTACGGAAAGAAAAACTTAAATATTGGCAGTAATTTGAATGCAGCGTAATAATATCAATACTTTACTTCACCCTCTATTTAAAGGTTCATCTGTTGACACTACCGATCGATTGTATGCACCATTACCGGGATTAAAATCATATGAACTGTATGTAGCTTATGGTGGTCCAGGTGTACCAAGTAGTGCTGTAAATGGCTTCATTGATAAAACAACATTCGGCACTGGAATCGTATTAATATTTCAAAGTAATAAACAGAATGGTAAAAATAATATCAAACCATTAATGAGAATAGAAGGACAAAGTTTTGGCAGTCGATTTGGTCATTCGCTTATATTTCTCGATATTAATGGAGATGGGTAAGTAGATTTCATAAGAAGTATATAAAGTATTACTATTTGTCAATAGACTAATTATTTATGCTGTACAATTTCCATTACGAATTTGAGTTAATTAGAAAACTATTATAAATTGAAGAATACTAGATAGTTGTTTTATCGTTGTTCAATATTACACTTAAGTACAAAACGATAACCTATCATAGCTTAAAATCTAGAAGATTCAGGTTTCACCAACATAATAAATTAACATAACCAAAATAAAATTCAATAGGAAATACTTTAACCTTTAGTCAGTTCTCTATATTACTGAGTCTAATATACATCGCTATAGGCGCGAACACGTATCACATTCCAGGAATTGTTTTCTCTACACGTCACTAATAAATCGATCTACAAGCTTATTATAAATAGACATTTAGTTATAATTAACAAAAAATCTTTTGTGAAAATTTGATGAACTTAATCATAGTTTTTGTACTGAATCGGTATTACCTACAAAAAATAATCAGTAATCTTCAAACATAAACAGTTTTAATTTATAATAGCTAGGATGCAGATACATTCAGAAGATGAGTTCAAAATGGAACTCCTCTGTTAACTACATTCCATTCATTCTATATCAATCAATTGTGTTTGGAATATACTGAAAACTCGAAACATTGTCAGCATAAAATTATATTCTAAAAAAGCAGTTACATCGATATATCAGTGCTTTTTTGTTTGAATTTGGCAATCTATTTGTTATCAATTACTAGCTATTATGATGATACCTTGTTCTTTTTGTCGTATTACGATTTATAAAATAACAAGTTTAAAAGTATACTTGAGGTCAATCAATGTAATCAAACAAAACAATGTAGAATTCAGTGTATGTTTAAAACAAAGTACGTAAGATTTTTTCAATATATGGTATTTGAAAAATGCACATATAGATAATGTATGTGAATCTAACATACTGAATCTGAGTATACATAAATTTAAAAGTAAGTTTGTTCTTTATATTACTTAAAATAATATCACTTATGTAAATGACTTCTTAATTAAACAAGATTTCGTAATACTAGATTTGCTATGGCCTGTAAAATTAGGTTTACGTACTATGATCACGAACTACATGAAGTTATAAATCACCACTTAACAACGTAAATAACTCAGTGTGAAACTGACTCAACAATGCAGACATGTTCGGGATGCGATTCTCCTCCTCGAAATGCAAAATGTTACTTCAGGATTGGGTTGCATTGACATTAGAACTAATGATAGGGAGTTAAGTAGTTGAGAATGCCAGCCGCTTCACTTATCTTGAGAGTCTCATCAGTCTTTGTGGTCTGATGTTTGACGAAATCTCAGCACGGATACAGAAGGCTCGACTAGCTTTCACCAACTTGCGTCATTTATGGTGTAGGTGAGATATCCATCTAGCAAACAAAGGACGGGTGTACAGTTTGCTCCGTCCTACTTTATGGCAATGTAACATGCCTGGTAAGAGTAGAGGATATTCGTAGGTTACTAGTATTCGATCATAAGTGTCTTCGAAGCATTGCTCGTATATCCTGAGACCACCGGGTAAGTAATGCAGTTGTTAGGAAACGGGTACTAGGTAAGGATGACAAATCGATTGATGAAGTAGTGAAACTTCACCAGTTGAGATGGCTCGGACACGTGTTGCGTATGCTCAATCACCGACTGCTCCGACGTGCGATGTTTTACGGTGTAGGAGTAGGTTGGAAGAACGCTAGGGGCGGCCAGTCCAAAGCGTGACTACAGGAAAAGGGTAAAAGATTTAGGAAGAATCGGTATTGATCTTAAACTAAATTTATCATTAAGTGAACTTTATTTACAACAGGAAACAAATGAATTCTTGAGTCAAATTTAATATCAATAGGTCCGAATCTCACAAGAAGCATCAATTCACTTAAGATTGGAGGGACGGATAGTACAAAAACCTACTGCCGTAACTATCTGTAACCATCTGACATCTAAATATAGTGCAACCGGTGTCGAATTACTTAGACTAGTGGTCACACTACGCCTTGATCAATAAAATTCAAGCAAAGTTAAAGGACTAGACAAATATGACATTTTCCTCTATTCTGTGATCAAACATTTTTAATATCTCTGTCTTATAGGTCAGCTACGGCCTTACTAGCCCATTGATAACTTCTAAGACTGAAACTCGTTGACATGAATTTGAGTCCCACAAAGTGTCAGTTACATCAAGATCCCAAGTACTCTTGTTGACAAATCCCGACTACTTTCAACCACCTAACGTCTAAATAAATAGACCAAGGAATCAGTATACCTAAGTATGAAAACTTTCAGTAAAATGTCACGATATATAAATCAATAATCAGAATAAGATCTAATGATGATTATTTTTGTTCTTTGTCAATGAAATAACAAAGCGTAAAGTTACTGTATTACAAACCATAAACTTAACACAACTAAATTGTATATTGAATAGGCAGTTCAATTTGTCAGATTACTTGTTTTCAATCTTTAAAATAAATTTAGTTGAAGACACCTGTTACAAAGATAAACTTATCATATTAATTTTGGGATAAATAAGTTGTCTTTACTTTAATGATAATGAATTGATCGAATACTTCATTTTACATCCTTTTTTCCCTAAATGACAATCCCATTGGGTTCTCATTCTCTTCTATGTCGTTATATTTTTGTCTATATTTTAGCCACATATTTAAGTTTCAAAGTATACACTAATTAGAATGATTTCATTTTAATTTAAACAAATAGATAAAAAGAAATTAACCTCCAGACCACTGAACAGGTATCCAGCGGTGCTAATGTTAAACTTCAACCAATCCACGGTATTAAGCGACCGTCCACCATTGTCTTCAGTGAGCAACTGCCCCTACAATAGACAAGGTTGAACTCCACTGGTCACGGCTTCTCATTAGAACTCCAGGAAACTCATATTGAAGCTAGTCACTAGTGAGCATATGACTGGCTTCAATATGAGTTTCCTGGAGTTCTAATGAGAAGCCGTGACCAGTGGAGTTCAACCTTGTCTATTGTAGGGGTAGTTACTCACTGAAGACAATGGTGGACGGTCGCTTAATACTGTGGATTGGTTGAAGTAAATATAATAACACCATTGGATGTTGGCTCAGTGATCTAGAGGTTAAGCGGTCGTGCCCGAGACCGAAGGTCTTAGGTCCGAGTCCTGCGTATGGGATCGTGGATGAGCACTTTCGAGTAGTCCCATGCTTTGACGAAACGACCATTCAGGGCTTCCTGGTTTTCAATTGTGGTCTAACATTCATTGATTCATGAAATCAATTAAAACTCAACAGTCTTCACAATCCTATACTGATAAAGTGAAATCAATTAGTATCAATAAACTACTTTTGCAAATTCTATTGCGATAAAATATAATTCCTCCAGTTCCTAGCTTATAATCCCCTGTCATCGTTTGAATCTGCAAACAATAAATTATCTGCGATACTAAAAACTAATCCTCACAATATGACCTTCAAATAATACCCTAAACTACCGTTAATAAAATATAATCTTATAAAAATTATATTTATCATTTACAAAATGATAGTTTATCATACTGTATTTCGAAATTTTCTTTTAACATACTCTGAATTCATGTAATAATCGAAAAACCATTCTACGTAAAACAGATTTATATATATATATATATATATATATATATATATATATATATAATCCGTTTAATGTAAACACAAAATTAAATCCTGACTTTGAGTCGACCAGCGGTAGACGCATCCATGAATACATTAAGTTTAAAATACAATAAAGCTTATTGAACTATAAATAGAAACTGTGGAGTACAAGATATATAGAGCATATTTACTGGAGGCATTGATTCATAAGTTTTTATCAGGTCAGTTGAATGTTTCTAAACAAAAGGAATGTAAAAGTATGAATTTTTACCAACCATTCACTTACCATTAAACATCGAAACACTCAATAACTGTTTAACCTTTATATGGAACTTACATTTACTAAAAAGGATTTACAAATTTCAACTTTAGATATATGTGCCTCAAGTTATTCAACGATCAAGACAAATGTCTTATAACTCTATCTCTTTTACTTTCCAAAAAGTGTAGCAGGACTTTATGAAATGTACAAAATGAGATCAAGTTAATTTAAAGATATAACATATGCTTATGGGAAAACTATTTAAAAAGTTTTATACTTCTGGATATGAAATATTTATACAAGATTTGTCAGATTCACTCACTAACTACTTTTTAAAATAATTGCATTGATAAACAGCAACGAGAAAGATATTTAAAGTACACACTGAGTAATACTCTACTATTTTTTTAGCACACTCATAGTGAAATGTTAAAGCAAAACCATGAATCGTACTTGTCCAATCCTATGAGATTATTTAAATGTTAAATTACATTCCAATACAGTGATTTAAGTTTATCATACTCCTTGTAGGCCTCTAAAATTCTGAGCACGTTCTGACTTGATCATTGTGAACTTTTGTGGAGCTCTAAACCAAAACGATAAAGATTTGTAAGATACTGTAACATTCAGTACTACCCTAATTTTTTTCAGATCATCGAAAAACGATGCTTCAGATTGAACTAATTACCATGAATCAACCAAATGAAACATTTATCGACTTATAAGCAAAGATGGATGATGGCTGGCAGTGGAATCCAGGATGCACGTTTCGTCCTATTTGGGGCTCGTCAGCCGAATTTACCCGCATTTTAGAGTTTATGTTCTCTTTAGGACTCGAACCCAGTACCTTTTGCTTCAAACGTCATCACGTTACCCACTCGGCCACTGAGTCCTGATAGCCACTTGCTTGTGCAATCAGGTGAAGTTTAAGTTCACGTGATATTGTTTACTTGAATCTTCTCATTAATATTTAGGACTGCAATTGATCAGTCTCTTATTGGCATATGTTCATACTGTGTGTATTGCCTCATTATTGCCTCAATTCACAAGAATTATAAACAAACACGGGTTCAGTAGCTAAGTGGATAACGCAGACAAATTAAGAATATATTAGGATTAAATTTCATTATAAACAAGAACTGAACTGACAATATTAAGAAAATTAATTTCAGTAAAGCTTCAGACTGTTTTCTTGGAAATTTTCCATGAGTGATTATAACATATACATATTAAATGAACAATATTAGTTTTTTGTTCTTGTTACGTCTGGCCGATTGTGAACGCTATATTTGCTCCCCTGAGCTAGTTCCGTAACCCCCAGGCTAGAACTACTCCGCGACTTGAAGACCAGAGAAAAGGCACAAAGTGCGAGGGAAACACTTTACTACACGGTTCATTTATGTACAGAAAATATGGGGATTTTATAGTAATTTAAGAGTCCTTGAGTTTTACTGAAAGTTCTAGAACACTGCTAAACATAGTAGCAGTGCATTAATCAGCCAATCAGGATCTCCACATGTAACTTTTCCATTTTCGTTATTTTAGTAACATAACTTCACATAACTTCTAATTAATCGCTGATTGGTCGAAATGCTCCTTAATGACCCCTGAGCTTGTTATGTCGCTTGCGAGAAAAATGCAGGGTCATCCCAACAGTTCTTTAACAAACACACGTCATTATATGACGTTTTTAGGTTATTGAAAATAAAATTATAATTTGATTAATTCCTACTGGTAGTCTTCTGATAGTAACAACAATATTATGCTGTAAAGTGATGGAAATTACTGTCTTTTATATCACTTCACATTTGAAAAATTCGGCCTCCGAATTAGGTTTAATCATTTTATCAGATTACCACTCTTCTCAATTAATACGTGTATGAAATTCATAAATGTTTCAGTTTATAGACCTTACAGTATACAAATGTTATCTTCATTTGCAACCTCATACTTGCCTTGTTTATATGTTTATTATTCGAAACATTTCTGGCAGTCCTTCAAAATTTATCTTTATGGCTACCTCGCCATTTTTCAATCCCTAACTATTTTGTTTTAGAATCGCATGTATAGAAGACTTTCTGAAATTCTGTTCACCGGAAACTATTCGGACGATAGATAGGTGATATGATGTACAAGTTTCATCAAACATTTGAAGTAACTCAATTCACGTACTGATTGTGCAGATTATATAAACGTTCTATAAAATTTAGTCTAATAAACAGTACGACCATGTTTCCTGCATTAAGTAAATCATTAATAATCCAGTAATTTTTCTTTAAATAATAAAATAGTTATAAATTGTTATTTGTTAGATATTTCACTGACTTGTTTTCTCTTACGTTTTTATTAGTTGGGATGATTTAATTGTCGGCGCACCTTATCAATATTCCAACACTACTGTCGGTGGACATAGAAGACATGGAGCAGTGTTTATATTTTTAAATAGACAGTCATATTTTTATACACCAGTGGATGAAGTCAGTGGCTTGGAGTTGTTTAGTTATAATCATCCGGAAACTTATCAAATAATTACACCTCCATCTCATAATTGCGGTAATTCACATATTCCTGGATTTGGAGCGACAATTACAAAACTTGGTGACATTAACCACGATGGTTTTCAAGGTAATGTTAACGATCAAAAATGTACCAATGTCATACAAAATTCTAGTTCTAAGTTGACGATCTAAGAATACTTTATAATGATTAAGAGTAGAATCTATTATGTATTTATGGTCTTTACAGATTGTTGTCATTTACTGTGTTAGGCGCTTCAGAGCAAATTATTTGTTTAATGATTATGTTCTGTATATTAATTCTTCAAGACTAATGTGGTCCTGAATTTAAACAGAAATCGCAAAAGGATACCATTATCGTTTATTGAATTTACTCTCATAATATGGTCTGATGTATCTTTTTCTCTTTTACATGGTCAGCAATCAGAATTAACTAAATGATAGCTTATTGGTTAAAAAAAACTCAGCTTTCAATATATTCCACAACACCGATTTCGGTTTAAATAGTCGGTGAATATTACTAACCACCATACAACTAGATTGGTTGTATTTGGTAAACGAGTTGTGTCTCATAACCTTCATAAATTAAAATTTAAAAACTAAAATACTCTTTCAAGAAAAAGTGGATAAATTCACAACAGGATTTCAATACACATTGTCTTTCCTATTTTTAAGAACTTACAACATTTATCCGGTTTGAACCTACGTTTCTCAGTTCGATAGTCTGAGAAGTTATCAGTTGAGCTATTAGGGCAGCAACTGATATCCTGTAGGACCGAGATACCTACATGAATTACAGGTGCACCTTTCTAACGAACCCAAACAAAGATAAAACTAGCTTCTAGAGTTTTTTTTACCGACCACCTCCAACCGCCTAATATCAAAACATGGTGCACATGATAGTCAGTCACTCAGATTAGTGACAACATTAGATCTTGATTAGTAGAATTCAGTCGGATTTAAGTACTGTACGAACATTTCATTAGTCAGTTCTCAATGATCCTTCAATATGAATCATATCTCCCCTTAATAATTAGTAAAAAACGAATACATCTGCAGATACTAATAGGAGCGTATCATCATTTCATTTTTGCAAACAGTCTTTTCTCTCTAATCCATATGATTACTTAGTCTTTAGTGACTTAAAAGTTTACTTATGTTTATGCGTATAAATTTTATGTTTTACATGTCTTAGTTTTATTCCCTAAATGATTCTATTTGTACTAATGAGTTGGCATGCATTGACAGTTTACAGTTCACATATACACTATCCATCTTTTCGGTGCATGCTATAAATATTCAATTAGAAATCGCTCTTACCTTATTTACTTAGAACAGTTGTTTACTTAATAGCAGTTAGATTACAACGACGTAATCAATATTGAAAAAAAAAACAGTTGAAATAAAGTATTATATAATTTAAAACAAACAAGGATTTTTCACATAAGTTACTGAATACACTTCAAGGTAAATCTGAACACCGCATACTTGTTTTTTTAAGTGCATATTACTTCAGACCAACAGTAAACCAATCTATGACTTCTTACTATGAGCTCACTTAAATTAATTATTTTTTTCTTTGAAGTATTGTCATTCACAGTATGCTATTTTTTTTTGAAATTTCTTTTTCTTGTGCATAAGCATATTTTGTATGTATGTGTGTATCTATGTGTATATATGTGCTTATATAATAAAATCGTGTTATACATTTCTCCATATTGTACTTGAACAATAAAAAAATGGTTTATCATCTTTTTTCAAAAAATTTTTTTATTTATTATTCCATTAGTTTTAAAGAAAAAGAATAATTTTTTACTCTTTATATCATATAGACAATATTTATTGTTTTTCTTTACACTTAATCATAATCAAATTAGACTTTGCCATCGGTGCTCCTTATGAAGACAACGGTGGTGCAGTCTATATATATCATGGAAGTAAATCTGGAAAAATTCAAAAACCAACGCAAGTATGCTGTGTTTATTATTTTAATATCCATTGTTTTTACTATTCTTGATTGAATTTAAATGGCTTAGTTAGCCTATATGTATTATATGCTGACTATCTCAATGTACTCATTAAGAAAGAGATTGTGGTTAGGAATGGAATTCAGGATGTGTGCTTCTTACTATTTGAGACTCATCAGTTGGATATACCTGCATTCTAGTTTTCATAGTGAAATGGTTCTGTAAAAACACGATCCACATATATCAACTAGAATTGGTTTAAATTCAGTCAGGAATATCAGCAACGAGATAACTTAAAGTTTTCTAATAAAACTCATTGTTTTTGTTATACAAACAAATCAGTAATCAACTTGAAAAAGAATTGTGTTTATAAAAGAAACTAGTGTATTATCTTATGATTTTTTCCGCCAGTCCCACACTTGACCTGCTATGGAAAACGATTCATTTACCTTTTAATTATGTTGTCTCAGTTTCAAAAAATATGAAATTCAATTTTAACAAAGTAAATGATAATTGGAAAATGATTTTTATTATGGACTGGAATCAACGGGAAAACCAAATAAAATTACCTAGTTCGTCTAAATATGAGATTACCCGATAGTGTTCAGTCATGTTCAAACCCGATGTGTTTTACGAAATCATAACTGACAAGGTGTAAAACATATATTGGGTGTAAGGTATTTACTATCTGACACTAATCGTAAGTTGTCAAATCACATTAAAGCTGAAAATGTGAAACATTAGATGACACTGTGGTCTAAGTATCGAGTACTCACTGTTAGGTTTGAAAATGCTACATTCTATTTCAAGTAAAGTTGTGTTTGAACACTACCAGGAAACATCATATGTAGACCAATTACCTGTCTTTTTTTACCGGTTGATATCTCATCATATCAAAAACCGTAAGTAAACTAATGTAATCTCAAAGAATAATATGATAGTTTATAGTAATGATGTATATCATTCTATTCCTTCACAGTAACTTACCAAAACACTTTTTCAAAAATGTGAAATTGATAATAAATAACACCGATTCCGAGTCATCAAAAAATAAGGGGGATAGAAAAACTGATTTTTTTGTTCGCTACTCCACAGAAAAATGGTCATAAACAACACTGCATAAGAGCAAACCCAAAACTTCAAGTTACGTGATGTGTACAGTACCCTAAGAAGACTTATTCATAGTGCAATGGTCAACATTTCTAACATCATCCAAGTCGTTTTATACGTTATAACGATCATCTTATGCCACTGACGATAAGTGTCCCATTCCGAAATTGGTTGAATTTCATTGGTCACAGGTTTCAAGAAGAATCTCATAAATCTGTACATGGTTATTACTTATATATGTTGCTTATTTTTAATTTGCTTTGTTAAGAGATCATCATCATCCTGTACAAACATCAGTTTATATAACGTCAAAGATCAGATAGCACATCTCTGTTCAGTTCTAAAACAATCACTCATTAACTAATACTGTGTGAAATATCAGCTCTACACTGAAACACAGTACTGTCTTGAAGTTTGAGCTGATTTACAAACTGTAACTAGACAGTTAAATTAGATAAAATATTTTAATATTGATTTTAAACTACATAGTTTAGTAAAAGAAACACAAATAATAAAATAAGAATAGAGATTTGTTAAACAATAAAAACCCGTATTGACTAAAAATCGTTGAAAATAAATGAAAATCAAAAGAATAACGATAACTAACTGGTACCATTAACAGTAGTCAAATATATTTTTATTCGTATTGAATATCAAATGAATATTTTAATATAAATCACTTCGTTTCTGATTGTATTAATATTCTTCGTGATACTTCAACACTAAGATGTGCATGTGTGCGAATGTGCGTATGAATGCTTAGAAATTGACAGCATAACTAACCCATGGTAACTATGACCCATATTCATTTATCTTCTGAGATTTGAAGTATGATAGACCATTAAAAAAAGTTATTATTTGATCAACAGAATAGTTTAAAATTCTATTTTGACGATTAGTCTATATGTATTTGAGAATATTTAATGACAATTTCGATCATAGAACAATTACACCAATTATAAATTACAAAAATGTAAGGAGCATTAAATATGTGTTTTATCCATAGTTCAACATACTCTTACGGTTTATACAAACTATTTTACACAGGGTTATATCTGTAAATGAATAATCCCATGGTGATCACGAATGACTAAACAATGTTAAGTTTACTAAGAGATCTGTCAAAACTAAGTTTGTCATCTCTCCCATCTTATAATTTCCCTTTGTTGATAGCTCTCAAACACAGATAACTCAACTGTGTAATTTTTGTTTCTTTTTAAATGGCTTTCTATTTGTATTAACACTTTATGATAAATGTAATGTCTAATAATCATTTATGCGAATAATCCTTTTTCTCATGTTTTTCTCCGTCCCTCTTATACAACTGAAAAAGTAATTGCTCAACAATCAAACAATTAGAAATTCGAACGGAATGCTAGAAATTTCAAGTTTTTTCCTTCCAATCATTTCTCAATATTAATTGTAACTTACCGATTAATTCCATTTATTTGATGGAAAATAACATATCTTGAAATAAGTTATCAGCTTATGTTATCAATATTATTTTGACAAAATTCATTAAACTATCTGTTACGTAACACAACTGACAGACCAATGTTTGAGGTGAATTATGTACTGAATAATAAGTTTTGGAGTGTGGACTGACTTGAGGACAGGTTTCAGCAAACAAATGCTAATATGCTCCCGAAAAGTAGACAGAGAACTGAATTAGATTCTGCTTGATGATTGATAGTTCCAAATCAATCAAAATTATTGATCTATTCTTGCAATATTGAATGCCTAATTATAGACCTTTGACAGTTGTAGGAAACAATAATCTGTTCCACTTTTGAGAATAATGTTTTTCTCTTTATTTCGCGCAGTGGATTCATCGGTTTGAAGCAACCGATTTTCCTCGATTAAACTGTAGATTTCAACCCTATTCCTTTTAAATCAGTTTATGCAACCGGGTAATATTATTAGATCTCATACCTAAGATGTGACTCAGAATAACAAATATGCATAGGTTATCTGTTACTGATTGTATAACATTTCACCTGTATGTGTTTTGTTCAACTTTACGGTCGACGTTCCAGCAATATCCATGAAAACTCTTTTACATTAGCGGAAGGGGGTTTTGTGGAGATTTTAGTCATTTTATATAGTTGTGATCATCAGTCATTTGAAGCTAGACCACCATAGAAAACCTGAAAGCACTGGACGACCGTTTCGTCCTAGTATGGGACTCCTCAGCAGTGCGCATCTATGATCCCGACTCGCAAGATTCGAACCCAAGACCTATCAGTCTCGCTCCCGAGCACTTAACTGATAGACCACTGAGCCGGCATCCAGTGGTGTTAATATCTAACTTCAACCAAACCACGAAGTTGAGCAACAGTTCACCAATGTCTACAGTGAGTTGATACCTCCCAACAAACCTGGTTGAACTCCACTGGTTACTGCTCCTGACTAGAACTCCAGGAAACACCTCATGAAGCCAGTCACTAGTGAGCGTATTATCATTATCAGAAGGGGGTTTTGTGGAGATATCAACTCACTGAAGACATTATGAATGGTTGCTCAATTTCGTGGATTGGTTGAAATTAGACATTAACACTATTGGATGCCGGCTCAGTGATCTTTTAAATTAGGTTTAACCATTAGCTTCTAATCAATTGTTATAGTTTACCAATATATTTTTTAGAATAAAAACAGCTATTTTTCTAGGAATCCATCATTCTTAAGTTTGTACATCTTCATAACAATTTTTACGTTGTCTTAAATAATACGCACTGTCATCCCTATTTCTTTATTATGTTTACGTGATTTATACTTGACGGTTTAAATTGGTGTTATCCAAATCCTAATGGATGAAAATTTGATATTTATACATATAAACACAGATATGTATAAATACACACGCACAGAATAATTGATGTGTTATCATAGAGATTATGTAACAAACGTTGGTAAATGTATCTTTTCTTAGTAATATATTTACTATTTATTTCACTTCAACTGCTAAATGACAATTTCGGTATAAAAAAAAACATCATGCAATTAAATTGGATATTTAATCGAATATATATAATTGGGCTAGTAATTTCTAATTTTCATTTCAGTCATAATATTGTATGTTTGTTTTACATAAAAACATTCACGAAAATGAGTTATTTCAGTAATCACAGTTTTTGTTTGAATTGCTCGTTAAACTTATTCAGTCTTAAAGCCACATTCTACGAGAACTTGTGACTGAATTAAAATAGAGTGACGAAACAATGAGCTTTCACAAAGCAGTACAAAAGCTAAGAAACCTAGTTCATAGATTGATTGAGGTTAGATATTAACACCATTGAATGCTGGACCTGTGATCTAGAAGTTAGGCGTTTGCAAGCAGGGCCAAAAGTCTTGAGTTCGAGTCCATTATGTATATTCGTAGGTGTCTGTTGATGAAACGCCCCATACTGGGACGAAACGGCCATCTAATGTCTCCAGTTTCTCAATGGATGTGTAACATTGATCGATTCGTGATTTCAATCAAATGAGTCTTTTTCTGTCAATTTTATCTTTGCAATTATCAATTCAAATGTTATCATTTGCTTAGGAAGGCCGTATCACGTAGTTCTTGTGAAGAAACTTGTACAGTAATTTACTTCGAAAAGTAGACGTGTGGTGCAAAAACACAGACTATCATATTCTTTATCACTGAACACTATAATTTTTATCGTAATCATTAGGACAATAATAATAAACTTTTTCCAACCCTCTCTCCTTAAACTTCACAAACACATCTTGCAAACGCCTGACTAGCGTTATCTTATCATTTACTTCATTCAAATCGCTCTCCTTATATATCTTCTAGTGGAACGAGATGCAGATACATTAGAATCTATACATCCAATAAAAAATATGAGGGCTCTGTAATACCTTATCTAGCAAATATACTATGTGA